TACATGGCATAAATTAGGTGCTTTAATGGGGAGAAAAAAAATCAATACATAAAAGCAGCATCATGAATGTTATAGTCCAGAATCAAATTTCAGAATAAAAAGATTAAAGTACTCCACTGATTTCGCATTAATCAAAGCAGACAGCTTAAACTTAAAATCAGCAACAGTTAAAGGGAAATCTCGCTAGGACAGAGGGAAAGCAGACAGCTCTATAAAACCTGTTTTTTTTACATCTGGTCACTCATGTACAGCTGTCATAGCTGATTGATAGGAAGTATCATGCAAAAAAGGCGATTGAAAATGTATGGTAGTAACAGCAATAGTGTTTTCCATCTATTATTCGTGTTAAATATTGGCCAACTAGTAAGTGCTGTGTAGGTAAATAAATATATATATACACACACACTTACTTTTAACTGTCCTTGAAAACTACATATTTCTTAGTTTGAATTCAAATGTTATTATCAGCAGAAGATTTTTTTTTTTTAATTCTCAAACAATGAAATGATCACACTTATTTTTCTCAGGAAAAGAAAAAACTTTACTAAACATCATCTGTTAAAACTGCCCCTGGTCTCTATACAGTCTTTCTTAATCACACAAGCTTATACAAACATTATGACACACGATTTCCTGATAAATTAAATCTACAGCAAGCATAGACAAATATCTATAGTTGGTTTTGTGCAGGTAACCCCCACCCACACAAAGAACCTAACCAAATCATCAGATGTAGTGTGCGAAGATAAGACCAGCCATTCTTCTCTGTTTGGTTTCATTGGATGGGTGTGGGCTCCTGGATAGTGAAAATCAGCTTTAGTGTTTGGGTTCTTAAAGCACTTTGTTCAGGATTATGTACAAGGATTTGTCAAAGGCATGTCACAGCTTGCCACACACCACCAGCATATTTGCATTCTGTTTGCTGTGGGTGCCCATATGCATTTACTTCCTTTAAAAAAATTATATTTGTGTGTTTTGATCGATTCTAGTTTTTTTTTCTTTATTTCTATAGTATAATGTTAAGAGACTGCTATCTTCCTTTCAGTTATACCGTGTGTGTGTGTGTGTGTGTGTAAATGGCCCCACCAGAGCAGGTTAGGGCAGTTCTCATGTTTACCTGCCTACCGTTTTAGCTCTGCCTCTTTTCTCTCACTTCCTGTATCAGGTGCGTGCTTGTGTACGTCAGGAGTTGGCGTCCCAGTACATGATAGGATGGCCCTGGACTTAAATACTCACTTGAAGACCACCAGGACAACTTACAGAGCTTACCGGACATCAGGGAAATTTTTAACCCGTGGCCACAGGAACAAAGTCCTCTTATTTTCTCTTTTACTTTTTCTCACTCACTCTCCCCTTCTCATTTTCCCTCTGCCGCAGCAGTTGGATTACCTGTTCAGGTAAGTGGGAGAAATACACCGGTCTGAGTATATTTACTAAGCACATTTTGTTGTTAACTTTCACCTGATATTGATTTTGTTTGCTGACAGCTGTGGAGAATCTTTCTTTGTGTATAAAGCAACATGAACCCTTTGAAGTCACAAATCCTGTGAAAATGTGTGTGTGTTTGTACACATGGAGGCATGTGTGTAAGCATGGCACAGGTGTTGATGTTCATATATTTGTAGTGTGAACACCTTCAGCTTAGATTGATCATCGTCATCATTATTCTCTAGGTAAGAGAGAGTTTGTTTCAGCGGTTCTGACCACCAGCTGTTTAGCCAGGAAAACCAAGAGCATGTCACCTGTCAGTATGCGTGAATGTGTGTGTGTGTGTGTATTGTTTGTAATTATTTTTAGATAGATAGATTTTATAATGTCTATAGATCTAATTTTGATATTTAATATTTATTGCTATAACAGCCAAATAGCACAAATCAGCATTTAGTTCAACATTTATATGTTGTCTAACTCTTCGTTCAAGTTGAAATCAGAGCATGCAAAGATTCAGATTTGCTGTGGAATGTTCTTCTACAACATGTCTGAACAAAGCGTGGTGAAGTCAAAAACAGATCCACAACAGGACTGAGCGCAAGAGATCCACCCAGCTGCCTCTTTTCTTACAGTGCTGCCTTCATCAAGCATGACTATCTGTTCTATTCTAACAGAAGCACAGGTGGTATTGCAAGGCTGAGATGTTATTTGGGGGACAATGCCATCTATAAGCATTTTCACTAGTGGTCTCAGACTTTTAGACCCCACTATATATTTCTGTGTTTGCGTTTGCATTAATTCCTTCGGTGGTGCATTGTTGTGCACTTTGTGTGAAGGAAAAATTATGTGTTTGTCTGTGCTGAGTGATATAAAAGTGCTGACACACACACACACACACACACACACACACACACAAGATAAGGCTGATCAGGCACAATATTACACCATGATTGAACCATTAATACACACTATGTTCTGTGTAGGTCTGTATATTCCTTCCATTAAGCCATTTATTGAGGATATTTTCAGCGTTTTCAGTCATTAAACATTGATCCCACTGGATCTAAGATCAAAATGTGTTGTTTATGTGTGTAGCTTTCTGGTTGATATTATGCTTTAATGCCAATAGCACTCTTTATGCTTAGTAAACTTACCACCACTTTCCTCTGGGCCAAAGGTCGCTTGAGAAACAATATTATCTCCTCAGAGGAAAATATGAGTGAAAGAGACAGAGTTGAAGGAAAGAAAGTAAAATGAAACAAGCAGTTATTAAGTCCTGTCTGTTTGTTTGGGACAATGGATTTTTCACCAGAAGTGCCTTTGAATATGGGAAGACAAAAGAAAATGGAAAATTGCAATTGAATAAGAGCTGCGGGGTAAAAGCAATTATTTTTGTGTTTTAGTGTTTGTGTGTGTGTGTAATGCAACTCAGTCGCATACTCAAGCCATATCGTCACTCTGAAGGATCATTAAAGAGATGATGATTTACGGAGAACGCAGGGTTGCCAGGTATAACTGTGTCCTTGGGCACACTCCTTTATGGGTGGGAGTGTGTGTGTGTGTGTCCTCTTATATAGTCCTGGTTAAGCTCAGATCAGATTACAGGGAGGCAGACAATAAAGCTATTCTCATGCATTCACCTGCAGTGCCCTGTCGTTCAAGGGTTTCCTCTTCAAATCAACAGTGGATGACTTCACAAAATCGGAGAAGCCATATTTAAATGCACAGAAAGATATAGAGAGAGACTATGAGGGTGTACACTGTTCAGTGTAGAGAATGTACTTAGTGAGAGACTCCAGACAAAATTTTATGGCTGTAATAATATTACACTCCCATCATAACCGTGTAAACTCTCACGTGCGAATAAGTTGTCTTTACTACAACAGGTGGGGTGATGCACTCAGACTTATGAAAGAAAATCCTGACCACAGGACTTCTTTGACACGATAAAGTTAAACATTTGTCTGTATTTACTCACCCACATGTCATTCCAAACTGGTATGCTGTTGTTTTTACTGTGGAACATTTATTAATTTATTATAAAATGACAGGTTATAGAGACTATGTCTGTAAAGTTCCAAAAAGCACCATAAAAAATATCAAAACATTAGTTCACTTTTGTGTTTCAAAGAAAATAATAATACCATTGATCCCACTGGATCTAAGATCAAAATGTGTTGTTTATGTGTGTAGCTTTCTGGTTGATATTATGCTTTAATGCCAATAGCACTCTTTATGCTTAGTAAACTTACCACCACTTTCCTCTGGGCCAAAGGTCGCTTGAGAAACAATATTATCTCCTCAGAGGAAAATATGAGTGAAAGAGACAGAGTTGAAGGAAAGAAAGTAAAATGAAACAAGCAGTTATTAAGTCCTGTCTGTTTGTTTGGGACAATGGATTTTTCACCAGAAGTGCCTTTGAATATGGGAAGACAAAAGAAAATGGAAAATTGCAATTGAATAAGAGCTGCGGGGTAAAAGCAATTATTTTTGTGTTTTAGTGTTTGTGTGTGTGTGTAATGCAACTCAGTCGCATACTCAAGCCATATCGTCACTCTGAAGGATCATTAAAGAGATGATGATTTACGGAGAACGCAGGGTTGCCAGGTATAACTGTGTCCTTGGGCACACTCCTTTATGGGTGGGAGTGTGTGTGTGTGTGTGTGTCCTCTTATATAGTTCTGGCTAAGCTCAGATCAGATTACAGGGAGTCAGACAATAAAGCTATTCTCATGCATTCACCTGCAGTGCCCTGTCGTTCAAGGGTTTCCTCTTCAAATCAACAGTGGATGACTTCACAAAATCGGAGAAGCCATATTTAAATGCACAGAAAGATATAGAGAGAGACTATGAGGGTGTACACTGTTCAGTGTAGAGAATGTACTTAGTGAGAGACTCCAGACAAAATTTTATGGCTGTAATAATATTACACTCCCATCATAACCGTGTAAACTCTCACGTGCGAATAAGTTGTCTTTACTACAACAGGTGGGGTGATGCACTCAGACTTATGAAAGAAAATCCTGACCACAGGACTTCTTTGACACGATAAAGTTAAACATTTGTCTGTATTTACTCACCCACATGTCATTCCAAACTGGTATGCTGTTGTTTTTACTGTGGAACATTTATTAATTTATTATAAAATGACAGGTTATAGAGACTATGTCTGTAAAGTTCCAAAAAGCACCATAAAAAATATCAAAACATTAGTTCACTTTTGTGTTTCAAAGAAAATAATAATACTAATAATAAAGTTATGGGTTCAGAATGACATGAAAGTGAGTAAATAATGACAAAATATTCACTTGAGGGCAAACTATATCTTTAAGCTTGAAGCTTAGTTAAATCTAAGCTAGGAGAGATATTACTCATTGGACCAAAAGACAGTACACAGAATCTCGTGGATTACAATTTGCAACTAGACGGTCAAGAAAATATGATCATATTACCCCAATTTTACAGTCTTTGCACTGGCTACCTATTAAGCTCCGTATCAGTTACAAAATATTATTACTTGCCTACAAGGACCTAAATGGGTTAGCTCCTTCGTACCTAACTAGTCTTCTACCATGCTACAATCCATCACGCTCCCTAAGGTCGCAAAACTCTGGACTTTTGGTGGTACCTGGGATAGCAAAGTCCACTAAAGGAGGTAGAGCTTTTTCGCATTTGGCTCCTAAACTCTGGAATAGCCTTCCTGATAATGTTCGGGGTTCAGACACACTCTCTCTGTTTAAATCTAGATTAAAGACGCATCTCTTTGGCCAAGCATTCAAATAATGCATCTCATAATCGTGTACTGCAGTTATATCTGATCAAATGCACATTATTATTCTTTAGTTTGGGTTAAACAAATAAATTTTGCTTGGTTGGAACAGCAGCTACGCTAATTATGTCTCTATTTGTTTCTCTGTTTTTGCCGTAACTAGGATTTACACAAGCTTCAGTCTGGATCCAGAACACCTGAGAAGAGACGATGCCAACCCCTCAGAGGACCTCAGATGATGCCAACCCTGAAACAACATACAGAACTACCACATTTTACTATAAGTTTGATTGCATCATATAATAATTGCTGTTAATCGTCTGTTTTATTACGTCTTTAATTGATTTTTCCGTACATTTCTGCCATATGTACATTAATTGACAGTCACCACTGATAAGCTACCACTAAATATTGTAGAAACTTAATTTGCTGTAAAGTTGCTTTGCAATGATTTGTATCGTGAAAAGCGCTGTACAAATAAACTTGACTTGACTTGACTTATCAATTTAGCTACATAGAAACACACAAACTCAATTATTTTCACTAGTAAATGACAGGCTCACATGAAGCCAGGTATTGCTTCTGGAAACATCTAGAGTAATGCTAGAAAATAGCTGTCTCTGTGTGACCATGCTAAAAACTTCCACTGTATAACTGGTAGTTCTAAAAAAAATTCTCCAACTTGGTTTATTAAGAATCTGAGGTGCAGTATTGATATTTCTGTTGCCAGTGGAATATAACATTAGTTTTGGATCGGTCTGATATTTATCCTTCTGCCAGCTCAGGGAATTAAAAATAGAGTAAGAGCAGAACGGGCAGAAAGTAAAAACTCATTTTTGCTGCCCTCCTTTTGCTAAATCGTGTCTTTGGGTGTGTGCGACCTGCCTTTCCAGCAAACACAGCTAACAAGATTATTATGTGGACACAACTATTTGCCATAAATGATGGTTCCTTTCTTTCTTTCTTTTTATGTGCTCCTCCTGTACAGGTGTATGGCTGAAAACGCAACCTGACACAACAAAGCCCTCCAACCACACAAAGATTGAGTAACACTTCAAACTTCGACACCATTTCTATCATCACACAATGAGTGATCAGGAAGAGGCAGGCACTGTGGCAATGCCCATTTGTGGTGCAACAGGAGTCAGTCCCACCTCCCCTCCTCCTGACCTATGCCATGTCTGTGGACAACGACACCTACAGGAGGAGAACCACGAATATACTTACAAAGAGGAGGTGGATGATGACCTTATGTGCCACATCTGCCTTCAGCCTTTGATCCTGCCCGTGGACACCCCCTGTGGACATACCTATTGCCAGGAGTGTCTGACAAACTTCCTGCTGGAGAGCGACTTCTGCCCAGTGGACCGCACTCCACTGATGCTGCAGACCTGCCGGAAGTCCAGCCTGCTGGTGCACAAGCTGCTGGATAAACTGGTGGTGTCCTGCCCCTTTACTGAACACTGCACCGAAGTGATGCCGCGGGGAGAAATGGAAGGACACATCAGGAACCGGTGAGGAAATCTCCCTCAGAGCTGTTTTTGATATGATAGTAGTGATCTTAACAAGATTTGAGCTTCTTAATGAAATTTAGGATGGTGGTAGACAGGCTTGGAAGATGACAGTCTGAGACGCCCAATGTGATTTAGCCAATTAGAACATGGATCTGCTTGTTTTGTTGGTCCTGGAGCAATCATGCTTTCATCATCACTTGAATACTATCAGGGGTGTAACTAACATTATGACTATTTTTGAGAAATATCATTGTTTTTTTATTTTACCTGAAGCCTAACAGCATTGATGCAAACACTAAGCAGCCATTTTTTCTATGGCAAATGCCTATTTACTTGTCAGCAAATCAATTAGTACTTTAGACCTTCTGAATATTAATTAGGTAATGTTGCTTTATTAATATTCATGAGCCAAGCTGATAAGTTTTATAATTGTCTACCCATTTTCACTGCTGCAAATTTGCAGGGAAATGTATTCACCACAGGAACTTTATCTGGCGAAATTGCACCACACCAATTCCCATTGAAATGACTGGATTTCCCCTGTGAAATTTCGTCAGTCCACGGCAAATGTGACCACACCTTAATGCTTACAACCAGATGAAATCATGAAAAAAAAATTGTGGTGGGGTGATAAATATGAGGCAATCCCTAATCCTAACCTAAAACTAAAACCTAAAATATTATTGGTTAAAAAGGATGTTGGTCCTGACATTCAGTCAGGTTTGAAGGACATTTTCAGTAAGGACTCATCTTCAGATGTCTATATTTGAAGGTAACATGAAGGTTTGGCAAAGCACAGTTGAAGTTATTGTACTGTGTAAGCAAATTTTGAATTGCTGAATGTGACTGATGCATTGAATTCACGCTTCATCTTCTCATTGGCATTCATAAGCAGCTCTTCGTTCATTGTCATTCATAAAAGACTCTTGTCAGTGATTCGCCTCAATAGAAGACATGTGTCGAGCACATCTCCGTCTGCATGCATGCATTTGTTTGTTTATTTTGTTAGAGGATTCTTTTGTTCTCCACTCCTCAGAGGTAGCAACCCCACAGTGACCTCTGTTAAACTGATCTTCCACCTCAAAGCCTTTGGGGACGTTATGCTTACTAATGCTTTTTATTGGAACTCTCCCTCACTCTCTCCATTTTCAGGATGGTAGAGACTCTGTCGTTCCTTTGGACTGTTTCTGAATCATTAGTGCTCCACAGGCCTGAGGGCCTCTGTTGAAATTAATTGCATTTTGTTACTGGCATTAATGGAAAGTTTCCCTCTCATTTTAAATTCCACTTACGGAAACATAATCAACTTGCCCTTTTCTCCAGTCAACCAAAACCCCACACTTGCTTCTTTCCATACTATTGCTCCTCTCCCCTCCCACAGCCTTCTCTTTTTATATTGGCTCTTAGGCTTTCAGTTCATCTTTCTTTGTCTTTCTCTTCCTCTCACTGCTTTCTCCAAAGTGATCTGGTTAAGTGGTAAAGTTGGACAACAATCAAAATGGGATGGGACTTAAACGGAACAAGAACTTGCGAGGACCAGCCAATGACTCTTTCTATGTAAGAATGGCCTTCCATTCACTTCAAACATTTTTTATGAGAACGTTTGTACAAAGTACAAAGTTCCTCTTGATTCCATGCACGTAAGCTCAATAGCTGAGATGCATTTGTCAGCGTCAGCTGCTACAGATTGTGTTTGTGTCCCAGCATTTGTGATCATGTGATGTTAAACCGTGAGGCTTCCTTCACACTGACTCATAACTTTGTGGTGAGAAGATCTGGTGTATTGAGTCAGTTTTGATCACTGCTTGTGCTTTGGTGTTTTGTATTAAATAGAGAGGTTTGCATCTTGTATTTTATGTTTGTCTGTCTGTCTTCTGTCACTTCTTTTGTTTTTGTGTTTGCAGTCAAGCATGTCTAGATGCACTTTGTCTCTCAGTGTGCGTAAGCATGTGCTTGAGTCTGCATGTATTTGGCGGTCTACAGACTTTTCTGGAATCCTGGATCAGATCAGAGGGGAGGGAATATACCGCTTTGGGCTCTTATGAACATGCAATATTGATAATAGCACATGCTATACTGTCACCAAATCATATGGTTATTGAAACTGCTGTAAAGTTTGGAGAACCCAAAACCATTGTCTGATTACATGACCTTGTGAGTTATTGTCTGTTTGGAGAATGATTGAAAAATATTCATCTATCTATGGCTAGATTCACACAGCTGGACAGACAGAAGACGATCCATGTCTGTCTGTCTCTTCCATCCATCCATCCATCTTCACATCTACCCTCAACACACACGTACACATAAACACACACACACACTCCTTCATAGCTGAATGAATCGTTGCGTTGCAGAGGGGGGTGGTCTTTGCTATACGCTCTTCCATTGAGGCATAGTTGGACTACCCAAGCCTGCAACTCCCCCTCTCTCCCGTGTCAGTTGGTTCACCCCAGTTCTCTCTCTCTCTGTAGAGCATGCTGCAGTATAAGTCAGACGCTGTGTTGCCCCACTCACACATACTCTCTCTCACTCTCTCTCTCTCTCTCTCTCTCTCTCTCTCTCTCTCACATTCACAGCAGCATGTGGGCTCGTGAGCATAAATCCTCTTACTCTTGGACGATGCCCAGGACAGATTAGACCGCAACGCAACCATCGCACCCTACTGGCGTGCCAGCAAACGCCGCTCTCTGCCTCCTCTTCTCCTTCTACCTCACCCCTCTCTTTTCTTCTCCGCCTCGACTCCCATGCACCTGCACCTGCGCCCGCTCCTGACTCCTTTTCTTCTCGAGTCTTTCTTCATCCTGCACTCTGTTCTCCTCCGCTGGCAGCGCTCCCAGTTTCTACCTCTCCCTCTACTGCTGCTGATCTCTCTACTGCTGAGATGACCGGGCTAAAAGACTGAGGGAGGCGAGGAAAAAAAGGAAAGTGGAAAGACAAAGAAACAAGAAGAAAAGGAAAAGGAAGAATAGCTTTTTACTTGAGAGAAAGGCGGGAGGGGGGGTCAGAACTGTAGTAGAGGTGGAGGAGCAAGGGGCAGGGAGGAAGCCAGATAGGAAAGACTGCATTCAGCCTAGAGAAAGAGAAAGAAAGCAAAAGAAAGAGAGACTCAAGACAAGAGACCCTGGAGAGAGAGAGGGTCATGAAGGCTCTGCTGCTGTTGGTTCTGCCCTGGCTCAGTCCAGCAAACTACACTGACAATGTGGGCAACCTTCACATCCTCTACTCAGAACTGTGAGTAACACACACATTGGCTCTTGCCAATGTCCTGTGTGCGTGTCCGATGTGAGTTGTGCACATAAGTACCATCTCATCATCTAGTCTTTATACAGGACAAGTCGCACTGTACCCCATCCCATCCAGCACTGCAATGTGTGCATCTGGTTGTGTGTATAGGTGTGTGTTTTTGTGTGTGTCCATATATCATTCTCAACGACCTGTATAAATCTCAATCAATCCCCCTTTTTTTACCTAAACAATTGCTTGCATACCTGTATGTGTTTGTGCATTACTTGCATATGTGTGTGTTATTGTTATGTAGAAGTATCTAGATGTATTGTCATGTCTAATATGTAATTTAAAAAAAGAAATGTTGTGTTTTTTTGTTGTAGTTGTATGGCAGGGGACAGTGTAGAGGTGATTATGGTTGCGTTTTGTGATGAAGCAGGTTTTGTTTTGATGCTACCTAGCAGTGAGGGACACTGCAGCATGGCTGAGATTACCTAATATGTGTGTGCGCAGGTGTGTTTTCACTCAAATAGTCAGGGGAATTTGGATTTGACATTTTTAGGACATTTTTATTGTCATATATCGTATATTTGTTAGATATAAAATGAATGTTATCTTTGCACAGTTATGCAAACATGCGAAAAGAACTGAGCGCACCGTTGCTATGCACACTATTCAGAAAAACAAAACAGGTACTCAAACACCCTCCGCATATCTGACACCAGCATATTCAAGCACTCTTGGAGCTGCACGGAACATAAAACATTCAAGCTGAACTTCTCTATTGGGTTAAAATCACAATACACTCCTTATAAGAGTAAAATATACACTCTTATGTGGCAGTAAACAGCGTAAGAGCTTCTTCATTGTGCACTGCACTGTTAAAAAGACACTTCTGCATTCAGCATGAGAGTATCGCGAGTGTGTCTGGGTGAAAGCTGGTTATATTGATCCCGGGTCTTTGGCAGAAACACAATTGTGCCATGTAAGTGCGTGTGAAAGGCTGAGCGTAGTACAATAGACCGCATTACAAATCCTCTCTGCTCTTAGAATCTAGACTATACACAACACAAACATGCTGAAACTGGTGCGTATAGCATGGAAAATAAAGAAAAGGAGGACTGAAGTGGAACAGGACAGTGAGGTGTCTTCAGAGGGATGAATGGTCAGTAGACAGATCAGGTAATTTCCTGTACCATCTGTCCATGCGTTTGTTTGGCTTGGATCTCTTAGGATGAGGTCTTTCTGTCTTTCGTCTCTGTGTATGTGGGTCAACATATAAGCCGTGTTGTATGTGTGTGTGAGTGTCCCTGTGTATGTGAGTGTCATGGGTAGACATACCATCTTGCGTGCATGCGTTGAAAAAGAGAAGTTAGAGGCGTGTAGTCCGTTTTTGTTTGGCTGGCTGATGGGAGCACGGTCCTTCGACAGAAAGCTTCTATTCTCATCTCTCTCACAAACACCTCATCTCTCTCCTTCTTTCTTGTATTTCAGCTAGTTGTGTTTTGCTTTGCCCAGAATGTCTCTCTTCATTTTTTACGTATCGGTATCTTTTCCTTTCTGTCTTTCTTTGTAATCTGATGTTGAACTTCTCACAGAGTTCTCTGTAGCGCTGTGGTGGACATATCCTGTCAGACTGACCCTGCGATCAATTGCACACATGCTAGTCTTTTGTATTACTGTAATATTACTTGTGATATCTGTCTCAGGTGATCCAGTCACAAGTGTTCGGATGAGACAGATCATGGTTTATGTTGTATTAACATCTCATG